TCTCTCTCTCTCTCTCTCTCTTTCTCTCTCTCTCTCTCTCTGGTTTTTCAAGGCAGGGTTTCTCTGTGCAGCCCTGGCTGACCTGGAACTTGCTCTGTAGACCAGACTGGCCCAAGACTCAAAGAGATCCACCTGCCTCTGCCTCCTGAGTGCTGGGATTAAAGGTGTGTGCCACCACAGCCCACCGCCCAGTTGAGACACTATCTCAAAACAAAACAAAACAAAGCCACAAGCAAAATAAAAAGCAAAAGAGGACAAAGACAACTCCTGACAGCTTGCTCTGGGCCTGCATGTCCACATATGGGCACATGTACCTACTCACACCTCACATTGATCATACACACACACACACACACACACACACACACACACACCTCAACAGGAGTGTGAAGACCAAAGGCCAGGTCAAGGGATCTAGATACACATAGGCTCCCTGTGTGAAGGGAGACAGGTGACTGACTTCCTGGAGCCGTGAGAATGTGGGGCTCTGGGATACTAATTGGCAGGGTGCCAGATCTCACAGGAAGCTTTGGCCGCTCTGTCAGAGCCACCTCAGAGTTGCCATGGCCGGGGATGGCAGTACCCATCTGTTCCCTGGGGAGTCAAGGAGGGTGGGGTTGGGCTGGGCTTCAGGTAACTTACTTTGTCCTTCTGCCTGTCCATCCATCCATCCATCCATCCACCATCTATTCACCCCATCCCTCCATCTACCTATCCCATCCCTCTCTCCCTCCCTCCGTCTGTCTGTCCGTCCGTCCATCCATCCATCCATCCATCCATGCATGGACCTTCCTTCCCAGCATCCCAGAAGAGCTGCCTGCCATCCCTGTGCCCTTAGGGAAAACCCAGGTAGCTGGAGAAGGTGAGAGCTGGCCTGGAACTCTCTTTGTAGTAGAGGATGCCCTTGAATTCCTGACCTTCCAACCACCACCTGCTGGGATCACAGGTGGGTACCGCCATCCCTGGCCATGGCAATCTTCACAGTAGGCCAAGGTCTCCCAGTGACAGGAGACACGGACTTGTTCAACTCCAGGCCTGGGTCAGTGCGAGGAGCCCTGTCTTCTGCACGTGAAGGTCAAACACCCCACGGCCCGTCACACCCCAGTGCAGGGCGGCTGGGCCTCGGACTCTCACTCACTCTCGTCCGGGTTGGGGGAGGCCAGGATGGCGCTGTGTTTCCGCTTCACCTCCTCCACGTTTTCGGCGATCTTGTCGATAAAGCCCCGGATCTCTTCCACCTGGGGGACCCGGGTCAGGGAGGTTAGAGGAAAACAGAGCAGGGAATCAGAGGGAAGGTGGGCTAGCAGTGGGAGCTGGGCGACAGCTCCGGGAAACCCAAGCAAGGACTCTGCTTTCCTTAGCATCAACCTCTCCACCCTCAAACTGGCTCACGCTGGAGCGTGGGGTGGGGGGTGGGAGGTAGGGGAAGGGGGAGTGGCTGAGCGAGGCTTAGGTGTAAGGGAGTCCTGCACCAGCTCGTAGGTGAGGACTAGCAGGTGCAAAGAGCAGGCTGATTCCTACCTGTTCGAAGAACTCATCCATGAAGCGGTCTCGGTCCATGGTGACAGTGACGTCGTCATCGTCATCGCTGTCTTTGGCCTGGACAAAGTTATATACATGTGAGTGGACATGTGTGGGTCCCCTGGGACCCTTACCCTTAACGATGAACCTTCTTCACACACAGGCACAATGAGGCTCTCTGGCCATTTATTGCCCTCTTGGGAGTCTCTGGGCAGGAACAAGGACAGACAAGCCCCGTGCCCCGGTTTCCAGCCACACTGCCCCCTGGAGGATCCCCAGGCACCCAGCACAGTAGAGAGGATCTGCCTGTCAAGTGTCAAGGGGGTGACAGTCATGTCCCCTTCCAGTAGCTATGAAACTTGGTCACCACGCCAGTGGTCCCTAAGCCTGAAGCCAAGCAGCAGGTTGCTGCCCGAGTTAACTGAGCCCTGGGTCCCACTGGGGTCTCCAAAAGTTGCCTGACAGACAGACGCCCTGCAAGCCACGGCTTCCCACTCTCCAGACCCAATGGTCAGTTCTGTTCTGTGTTTAGACAAGTGTCTCACTTTATAGGCCAGGCTAGGGTTCAACTCCTGACCTTACCTCAGCCTCCTGAGTGCTGGCATTATGGGTGTGTGCCACCGTGCCTGCTTCTCAATTAAAACGGAGCTCAGAGTTTCCAAGACCTGTTGGTCCCAGTGTCCCAAAAGCAGCCAGATAAAAACCACAATTACCAGCCAGGGAATAATTAAACTAGGCTTGTCTTCCGGCCATGGTCATTTTTTTTTTCCTTTTCCATTTTCGTGTGTGTGTGTGTGTGTGTGTGTGTGTGTGTGTGTGTGTGTGTGTGTGACGTGCGTGTGTGTATGTATATTTGTATGTGTGGAGGTGCAATACATGAGGAAGCCTAAAGTTGATGTCCTCAGTTGCTCACCCCCCTTATCAATGGAGTAAGGGTCTCTCAATCAAGCCCAGAGCCTGCCGATTAGATACGGCCTAGTCTTACTGGCCCCTTGCTCTAGGGATGCTCGCCTCTCCCTGCTGAGGCTGGAATCACAGGCAGGCTTCCACACTCACATGACATGGGTTCCGGGGATTCGAACTCAGGTCCTCTTGCTTGTGTGGCAAGCATTTTTAACTGCTGAGCCATCTCCCCAGCCCTGGCCATGGTCATCCTATTTAACAACACCTGGGGTCAGCCAGGCTCACGGGCCGGATGGTTCAATGTCCCTTCCCCACAGCCAAGGTACACCAATGTGAGCTAGGACAAGAGCTATCTGTCACCTTTGGGTCACTGCTCAGTACCTGACGACAGAGGGTACTGCCTGCTCTCTCAGCATGGCTTGGCTCAGGGACATACCACCCCTCCAAGACTGATGCTCTTCGGTGAAATGGGTATAGTGATAACTGTCTCTAGGGACAGCGGACTTAGAAGAATAAGACACGGGCGTTTTCTTGGGTTCCATTACCTAGTCAAAGCAGGACCCAACCGAATGCAAGAGGGGGTGGCTAGAAGCTTTTCTGGAGGCAGCGCTGAGGGGCCTCCTCCCATCTAGAGATCACACCTCCTCCCCCGGGCAGCTAAAATAAACCCCCGCTCTGCTCCTTCTCCTCAGAGTGCCTGTGGACTCCACCAGGTGGCCATCCCTCCCCCAACCCATAGACAAGGAGACACTGGGAACTCTTGTCACACTCAGGGGCCATTCCTGGCTGTGGAGTTGAGGCATACCGGACACACCTTAGGGAAACTGAGGCATGGCACCGCCTGTAAGAGCTCTGTTCCCTATCACTATGCAGCTAGCCAGGTCCTGAGCAGTGGAATTGGGGTGTGTGCCGTTCAGTCTCTGACAAGCTCTGGGACCCGGAAAAAGACAGGAAAGGTGGAGAATGTTCCATCTCTTTTGCTTTTTTCTTATTCACTTAAAACATTTCAGTAGCCGGGTGGTGGTGGCGGCGGCGGCGGCGGCGGCGGCGGCGGCGGTGGCGCACGCCTTTAATCCCAGCACTCAGGAGGGAGGCAGAGGCAGGCGGATCTCTGTGAGTTTGAGGCCAGCCTGGACTACCAAGTGAGTCCCAGGAAAGGCACAAAGCTACACAGAGAAACCCTGTCTCGAAAAACCAAAAAAAAAAAAAAAAAAAAAAAAAAAAACATTTCAGTTACAAACATTGCATATAGTTGTGGTATACACAGGTATGCATGCGTACACTCCTGCACTCCGAAGTTCAAAGAATAAATTGTAGAAGTTGCTTCTCTCCTTCCATCATGTGGATCCTGGGGTTTGAACCCTAGCAGCAAGCATCTTTACCCACTGAACCATCCTGCTGGCTCCTTTATTTTCATTTTTGGGTCAGAGTCTCATGTAGCCCAAACTAGTCACCAACTCAATATGAAGCTGAGGGTGGTCTTGAATTCCTGATCTTTCCACCTCCTAGGTGCTAGAATTACAGGAATATACCACCATGCCCAGTTTCCTTATCTGGGAATACCTAAAGCTGGGCAGGCTAGCATGTGCCTGTAATCCCAACAACACTCCAGAGGCTGAAGCAAGAGGAGGAGTCAAGGTCATCCCCAGCTATTTGGGGAGTTCAAGGTCAGCTTGGGTTACATGAGACCCTGTCTCGAAAAACTAAAACAGGGCTGGAGAGATGGCTTATCAGTTAAGAGCTCATATTGCTCTTACAAAGGATCAAAATTTTGGTTTCCAGCACTCACAACATGCAGCTCACAATCACCTGTCACTCCAACTCAAAGGGATCTGGCGCCCTCTTCTGGACTCTGTAGGCACCTGCACTCAAGTGCACATACCCACTCAAAGATATACATATATATTAAAAATTTTTAAATAATAAAAGTAACACTAAAAAAAAAAAAAAGCTCAGTTGGTAGAGAGCCTAGAATGCACATAACCCTAGGCTCTAACCAAGTACCTCAGAACTTGGGTGCCAGCCTTGCTGAGCCCCACAGCTCCACCCTTGGAACTCCTCCCAGACATATCCTTGACCAACACAGACTCAGGTAACGTGGCTGCCCTGGCTCTCCTGGCATGCCTTCTTCCTGGTTGTCTTGACCGGGGTGGGGATGGCACACGAGCACAGAGTGGCTACCCATGCACCAGGGAATGTGACTCAGCCGACCGAGTGCTTGCCTCTCTTGAATGAAGCCTTGGGTTTGACCCCCAGCCCCGAATAAACCGAATGTGGTGGTGTGTGTTCCTAATCTTAGCACTTGGGGTGGTGGAGGCAGGGGGATCAGGAGTTTAGATCACCAGTGGCTACATAACAAGTTTAGGGCCAGCCTGGGCTACATGAGACCCTGTCACAGACAAACAGACAAGATCAAATGAGCAGCCAGGTGTTTCTTGGATGATTAAGGAGCTAGGTGGGGTCCTAGCTTTCACCACATAGAAGGGGGCAGGATAAGGGAAAAGACTTGGTGACCTCTGACATGGAGGCTGGAGCTAGAGGCGTAAGGCAAGCAGAGATCAAGGCCCACACATCCGATGGGCAGATGTGCACAGAAACCAATCTTGCTGCCAATCTGGCCAGGGTCTGGGTCTGCCCTTCTTCAGAGCCATCTCCTCAAACTCCCAGGTTGGAATCCAATCCCCCTGTGCCCAAGAGCCCCCCAAACCAGAAACATGGAAACATCTCCTTCCTTCCTTCTTTCCTTCCTGCTTTGTCCTGTGAGACAGGGTCTAGCTATGTAGCCCAGGCTATCCTTGAATGCACAGAAATCCTCTTGCCTCCACCCTCCCAAATTCGGAATCACAGCTGTGCAGCTGTATGACGACGACCCCTCTTCCTCTTTTTTTTTATTTTGTCTTTTTTCTTTCCTTCCTTCCTTCCTTCCTTCCTTCCTTCCTTCCTTCCTTCCTTCCTTTCTTTCTTTCTTTCTTTTTTTTTTTCCGGAGCTGAGGACTGAACCCTCTACCACTGAGCTAAATCCCCAATCCCTCCTCTCCTTGATAAAACCTAACCATTTGATTTTTCCTGATGAGTTTTGTTGCTTATCCCCTGGTTTTTGACCCTGATTCATATCCAGAACCCTTTAGGGGAGGGGTGAAAAAAATCCATTTCCAGGGGGCTGGAAAAATGGCTCAGCAGTTAAGAACTCAATATTGCTCTTCCAGATGACTGAGTTCAGTACTCAGCACCCACACTGGGTAGTCTCAAGGGCCTGTAAATCCAGCTCCAGGGGATCTGACACCCTCTTCTAGAATCTTAAGATACCTGCACACCTATGTATATATCCACATACAGACACACACACATATACACACAATAAAATAAAATCCCCCAGTGAGGGGCTGGGGTGTGACTCAGTGGTAGAGCACCTGCCTAGAATCCCCCAGTGAGGGGCAGGGGTGTGGTTCAGTGGTAGAGCCCCTGTCTAGAATCCCCTAGTGAGGGGCTGGGGTGTGTGGGTCAGTAGTAGAGCACCTGCCTAGAGTCCCCCAGTGAGGGGCTGGGGTGTGGCTCAGTGGTAGAGCACCTGCCTAGAATCCCCCAGTGAGGG